CATGAAGGGGAAAGCATGTTTTTGGTTGGTCATCGCTTCAACTGACTAAAAGACAGCGACAAAGAGCGCTTATTCACATCAACACACTGAAACCCAACTCATTAGGCTACATCCATCTCTCTTTCCCTTACAGACACACACACACACAGCAAGGTGTCAGTCCTCCAGCAGCCACAGTCTGCATTAAAACACACTGTTTATGCTGAATTTGGCATTCCAAGCGAGGAGCAAAGGGTGCCAGTTGGTTTGCTGTTGCTTCCAGCCAACCTTGATTTCAAAGCAGTCTGGAACTGCCACATAAATATAGAACTGGATTTGAAAAAACAGAACCCATGGGTCATTGCCAGCAGATCTGCAGCAGGAATCACCCTCTGAGCATGTCAGAGATTTGAGTTTTGGGCCCCTGGTCAGCAAAATAGTGCTTCTGATCATGACTGACTTAACTGCCAAATATCAACAGGATGAAATTCTGATTTAGGAAAGATTTTATTTTCGTCATTTTAGCCATCACTTGGTAATAAAAACATTGAACTGGTTGCTGATATTTGGGAACAGGGTCTCATTGCTAAAAAAAAAGTACAGACTTCCTGGTTCAACTTTCAACCGAATGTTGGTGATTGAACTGACTGTTGTTTTCCTGTGCAATGAGATATTATTATTATCAACATTTGCGCCCACTTAATCAAAGCAAGCTGGATTCATTCTGTAGTTTTCACTCCTCACAGGTTCCTTGATGACTCTTGTTCTGAGCCCTCCCCTCTGATAGGGTTGTGAATATTCGAAGTAGGGCCTACAGGTGAAGTTCCAAATGAACAAGTCAATGAACATCCCAACCATTATCTATGGCCAGTGGCTTTGGGTTGGGAATGAAAGAATGAGATCGCAGATAAAAAGGGGCTGAAATGAGTTTCCTTGGCGGGGTGGCAGGGCTCCCCCTCAGACATCTAGAAGGATCGAGGGGTACAACCACTGTTTCTTCTTCCTCAAGTTCACCAGTTGAGGCGGTTCAGACATCTGATTATGTTACCTCCTGGAGGTACTCCGAATACGAGCATAACTGGTACAAGAACCCAGGGTAGACCCAGAAAAAGGGTGGAGGAGTAAAGTATCACTTCTGGCCCAGAAATGGATGCCAGGATGGCCCAGGAAGAGCTAGAGGATGTGGCTAGGGCGAAGTATGTTCGATCTAACATGCTTAATATGCTTTGCAATGCTTTAGGGGTGACCGTGGCTCACTGGGCTAAGAGGGTTGTCTTGGAAGATCAACCGGAAGGTCAACGGTTCGATCCTCGACTGGGACGTGTCACATGTCGAAGTGTACCTGAGCAATACACTGAACCCCAGGCCCCCCGGGCGCCTGTCATTGGCAGCCCACTGCTCCCTATATACAGGGATGGGTCAAATGCAGAGACAAATTTCCCCCTTAAAGGGATCAATATAGTATAATAAATTAAAATTAATCTGCTGCCTGTTCGATTGAGTCCCGGATAAGAGACGGAAAAAGGATCGTCTTAACGCTCATTGTTTGTTGCGCCATCAAATGTTATTTTTGTAATTTTGCCATGTTTTCCCAGCTCAGCAGTAGGATAAGGCAATACAGGATATCACCACGAATAGCATAACATGCACAATAGGTTGGTCGTGGTGACTTTATGGGTAATTGTGAATATTGTCACATGAGTGACTGGAAGCAGCTGTCTATCTATCGTGGTAGACAGGTGAAAAATAGAGAAAACAATACAATAATTATCATGTCAGAAAGAGCAGACTCATGTAATATGGCTATTTTTTATATTCTTTATTTAGACAGGGACCATGTGATTTGTAATTACCTTATTTAAGATTGATTGATTTCAGTTTTTCACTAAATAGGTGTGTCCCATTTGATGATCAATGGGAATTGCATTTTTTTGGGCCAGGATAATGGTGACATGATATTTTTGTCCCATGCCTACTCAGCAATTATGATACAGAGAAGTTACTTTTGAGCGCTGTCATACTGTAAGTGAGGCAACTGAAAAAGACTAAAGCACCAGTCGTACTCATTTGAATGATCCTTTAAGCCTTGACATCCAGTCTATAATGTTATTCTCATGGGGTGCACATAAGGATGTATAGGTGGAGTATATCTACTGCACTTCTATGTGGAGTGTGTTCCTGTGCATGAGTACGTACAGCGCTTCACTGTTTGCTAGGATGTATGCACCCATGAAGACTTTTTGTGTGTGTGTGTGTGTGTGTGCTCCCGCCGCCCATGAGGAGCAGCCCGAGGGAGGCTAACACACTGTAACAGAGCGAGGCAATGAGCCAGGATCACTGTTACGATCCATTGGGAAATAACATGTAAAGAGCTGCCTGTCAGTGTGGGGGCGAGCCCAGAGAAATAACCCGGGATTGGTGCGAACCTCTGCCGTCTCCCTAATGTTAATTCCCCACACTGGGGCTAACGCACACATTCACATGTACTAACGCATATGCCACTGCCTCCTCTGTTTCTACCTCACATAGCACACAATGCATGGATAACATCTTTGTACCACTCAAACAATCAATATTTCTTACTCTGCGCACACACACAGTCATGCTGCTCTCACATCATACAGTTCCTCCATGGTGCACACACACTAGAGGCACACAGTGTAGCTCATATGCGGCTGCACTGACTGACACACTTGTATCTCTTCGTGCAGTTTCACTTACACACACACACACACGCACAACATTTCCCTCTTGAGGCCTAACTAGTCAAGCAATGACAGTTGTCTTTGTAGTGCAATTGCCTCCATTGCAACACCAATGGAACTGTTGCGTATTCTATCCACTGTTCATCATTACTTCGGCGTTGTTGTTGCTTAGAGCTGTCCCACAATGCAGCAGTGGGTGGACGGCAGGTTCAAATGGCAGCCAATTCAAGAGTTTGTGATTTCGAAGTCTCTTGCATGCAAATGTTGTGCCTCCGGGCAGATTTCGACCAACATTTTAATTGGAGCGGATCGTGTTAATGATGACGAGGGTGAGGAGCTGATTCTAAAATGGAGGGTGTGGGTACAGAGCAACTTAGACAAATCTCCAGCTACGTATGTCCACGTCATGGGCTGTTTTTTTTTTTTTTTTTGCCTGACAGTGCAGCATGTGGATTGGTTTATTCAGCAGACGTTGCTGGTGTACTGTTACCAGGACAAGTGAGCGGAGTGGTGCGGCTAGACTTTACGCCCCTCGCTCACAGAGCTGTACGTTCTGCAGTGCTCCAATATTTCTCCAAATATTCTATATTATGTGCATTCCTTTCGGAAAATTGTTGACAAAGACCGAACTTGTTTGAAAGACTAAACGCCAACAAATGTTGACTTTTGGCCTTTATAACGTTTTAAAGAGGTTATAACACTGCAGTCAAATTGAGATATGTTGAACCTGAAGGCACAGGGCAACAGCTTGTTACAGTTAAATAACAAGAACTGGAATGCTCTATCAATCAGTCTGTACAACATTAAAGGATACGGCTGCCATCTTAAGATAAGTTAAGTTATACTTTATCGTCCTGCAGGGAGATTTGTCTTGGGCTCCAAGCCGCTGCTAGAAAGACTTTAGCTTTGCAGCCAACAAATAAGATCTACTGATCACAAAACACGTGCCAGCGTCACAATCCACATGCACGCATTAAACATGGATCATAGATCATGCATTGTCAACAAATCCCCCCAAAAAGACCAAAACCTGTGTGAGCGCTCTCTCTGTGTGTCCTGAGTTCTCTACTCCAACCAAAACGCATTGGTTCCTACCAAAGATTCAGTGATGGTTCACAAATATATAGTATTATTTAAAAAATCATATAATCATAATCATATCGTGGTTGATCGGTTTGTCACTGTACAGTCCTCTGTTAATTACTGTTAACTATCAAATGGGTTCATGGTAAACCAAGATAGCTTCACAGAGCTGCTAGCATGTCTGTTGACTCCTTAATTACTTCATTACACTTACAAAAATTAAGTTACCAAAAACGGTTGGGCACTGTATTTTTTAGCAAACCTTACTAAGGCGGCGTAAGTGAGGCATTGGATGAGGGCTCTTGTATATTTTGTGGGGCTTGAGTATTAGCAGCAGCAGGACGGTGCACGTGTTATTATGTATCAAGGTAGAAAATGTTTAGTCAAATTCAACATACAGGTACAACGGCCTGGTCTCCTAAGAAATATGTTCTCATACAAGAAAACATATGAGAAAAAGTTTGGAGAGAAACATATCTTCTCCCGGATTACGTTTGTGTTTGACGCATCGCAAATACATTCCGAATCGTAGTCTGCAGGAGTCGGTGTGCTGACTTATTTCTTACCTATGTCCGTAATTTACGTAATTGCCTAATTGAGGGAACTGTTAATATGGGAATTCATAACGGATGTTTAGCACATACTAAGCCTTGGAAGGTGGTGATAGATTGTGTGAGTTAGAAGTTTGTTCGTCTGCTTAGCGGAAACTAAACGGTGTATCTGTATAGGATTTATCCCTGAAATTCTGATGCAATATACATCTTGGTATGTTCTTTTGATTTGATGTTTTTATTTTTTACCCCAACCAACCAGTCTTAGTATCTCTTGACCCTAAGTTGTATCATCAAGCGTAATTTCCGTAATAAGTACGCCATTTCATGGCGTACTTATTTTAAGCCAAACCAATATTTTTTATTTAAACCCTAACCAAGTGGTTTTGTTGCGTTTCAATTTACAATTTGACCGTAATCTGAAAGAAAATATACAATTGAGAATGCAGTTAAGTTGTATGGAATGTCATTTCTTAGGAGAAGGGGTTGGGCAGAGATAACTGTAATATCATGCAGCCCAGCATGCATTCTCAATGCTGCATTGCTGGTCGTGAGACACACAGGAGGCTGGTGGTGATGATGATGATGATGATGTGCTTTGAGAGTGAGACATGTCATTCTGTGCTGTGCCTCTATTTTACTGATTACACAGTGCTCCCGTCTTTCCCTCTCTCCCTCTCAGATAACGGCTTTCGATGAGCTCCAGACTGACTTCAAGGTGCCGATCGATCAGGGCAATCCACTCCATGCGGTAGGTTTGCTCTCCCTTCTGTAAACATTTTCTTTATATTATTTTATCATCATCATCGTCGTTTATGATCTCTCACTCTGTCTTTTCCTTGTCTCTGTTCCCTGTACTTTCCTCTCTTTCTCCGCTAACTTTGAATCAAGCAGTTGGCAACATATCAGTTCCGTACGCCCTCCTCTCCTCACTTCCTGGCTCAAAAGCAGACTCTTATCGTAGGACTCGGGGCCAAACCATCAAGTATGAATGATCATCTTTTTAACGAACAAATTCCTGAATCCAAATATGAATAAAATAAAAGCGACAAGCCACATCCGAGGATAAACATGGATGGCTTTGGGACCGGTAACCATTTGTAGATTTAATTTCTAACGTTCTCCTGAAACCGAACCATCTCAACCATCATAACTTTACTCCTAGAATCAGTTCCAGAAAAATATATTCTTAAAGCTTGTCTCTTAAAAAAACAGGTTCTTTGCAGTTTTAAACACATGGTTAGTGTTGTGAATTGAAACATTACAAAACAAAAATGCAACAAAACTACTTGGTTATGTTGAGTAAAAACATCATGGCTTGGCTTAAAAAAAGTTTGTTACGTTATTTAAGTTTGAAATACATTGACTTAGTTTAACACGAAAGAAACGTATTAGTGCTCTGTCAAAAACAAACATCATGTGGGAGAAAATACATTTCCCACCAAGCGTCATACAGTTTCGTTGGATTGCAACGTTATCATGAGGAGACCAGGCTGCCAACAGCTCATAGTGTTCACTTCAGTTTATCCCTATTTAAAGGCTTTTTCAGGTTAATGCAGGGATTTAGGCTGTTGGTGGTTCTGTGTATCCAGGGTGCTATCTAAATGGGGAACATTTATTTATTTCGGCTTACTGAATACCAATTCTTAACAATGGTCAATTCACAGGTTAATACACTGGATTATACATACATCCTCTGCTAGGCTGTCTGGTAAACAAATTGGACGTGCACTGAATATTAACGATGAATAGCTAAATCAATGCTGTGCTTTAAACTGTGATGATCGGCATTAATGGATTTTATACATGTTAATATATAAACATCAATATATGCCAGTCCAATGTGAGCGGTACATTGACAAACTGTGAGTGTCTTTTAGCCTTGGCCAGCTTTTTTTCCTCCAACACCCCCCCCCCCGATTTCCTTTCACTTCTTTGTCCCTCTCAAAAATTCTCACAGTGAAGAAACAGGCAAATATGTTCTGCTTCATCACTTCTCAAAATTGCCACGGCAGCAATCAGGAGAAGTTGTTGAGAAAAAAAAAGTAGACTTGCGTTGGCCAGCACGGGGAAGACGCCCCCGGTGAAGTTGTTTTAGGATTTGCTCCAGCCCTCTAAATCCCTTTCCCTCGAGTCTTTTGGGCTTTTACTAACGCAGTTGGCTCTTAATAATGCATGGCGGTACGGCACAGCACGAGCGTTTAGTTTGGAGGTGACTTTGACTTAAGAGCTCTGGACTGTATGGCTTCTCTGGAGTATTGACTTCCTTACATGAGCAGAAGTAAGCAGGGGTGGTGGGGGAGTTGGAGAAGGAGACAGATTGATTAAAACATTGCAAAGTGGGAGAAAGAGGAGAGTTGGAGATGGATACGGACAGACGGTTGAATGAAGATTTATTGAGAGGCAAATGAAAATAATTCTTCAGCTTGAAAGACTTTTTCAAGACGATGAAAACAGTGCATTGGACCAGATTTCCCCACTCAGTACATCTTTCATATTTTTGTCATATTTGCATAGCATTATGGAATGCAGAACGTATCAAGGAATCCAGCGGGGGAATGGGTACAAAAGGTTCCATCTAATTTTCTTTCTTCTCTTTCCTTAACCCATTCTTTCCCCTTTTGACTCCTGCTTCTCACACGAAATGTGTCACTGCTGCCCAATTCCAGATGAAAACGTGGACCTAAAATGCAAGATTTCTATTTCAAAGAGATTCGTTAAATACATTCTCAAAGCTGTTGTTGCTCTTAAAGTTTTCATGACGGGTAAAGTTTTTGCTGGGCTCCCGCAAGTGTGTGGATTCATGAAAATTGATGGATAGAATTTTTTTGATGGCCATTGATGAAAATGTACTTTGATATATTAAAGTTACTTGAGTCACACATTGATATGAAAAAAAATCGCTAATGTCATATCTGTGCAATGCAGTTAGCCTAGCTTAGCACAAAGACGAGTAGCACTTGACTTCCTCTAAACCCACAAGTTCTAATTTTTAAGCTGTTTGTGTGTCGATTAAATAATAAGATATGCGTCAATAGCTTTAGAGGCGTTAAGGTGTTTTTGTTGTTGTTGTCTTACCTTTGAGTATAAAGCAAGGCCAGCTAGCTAAGCCAGGCTAACCACGTCTTGACTCAACCACGTCATGGCATCTTTAATCATCTCACTCTCTCTAAAAACAGTAAACAGAAACTATTCTTTGAGTGCTTGCATTTCACAAAACAATTTGAAGTAACAGAAAGAAAATGCACATTTATTAAGTCTTTCAAGTTGTCACTGCTGTGGTGTTTTTTGATCTGCATGTGCTTAATAGAAAATATCTCCCACTTTATACATCTTGTGAACTTTCTGGTTGACCTAAAGGCAAAATAAGCTACAAGAGGTTGGGATAATACAATAGAAAACTCAATATATACCTCTCATATACCTGCATGAAGCCTACTTTATAATAACTTTTGTCCATTGAATTTCTGATATTGGAGTTGGAGGTCAAAGTGGAACAGAACTTCTCCTCACTGCAAGTGTAAGGAAATATAACTAAACCACTTCTGATGAAGTTTCAGTTAAGTAGTTACACAAGTGTAAAAAGATATCTAATGGAACATCCAGTTATTCAGGAGGCAAAGTTAGGTCTGTCTTTGTGTAGTTGATTGTACAACATAAGAAACCAATTTGTAATTTGGGACTTTGTTACATTTGACATTTACATTAGTCTTATCAGCGGTTACCATTCATTGAAGTTTGGTTTTGAAATAATCCCAACTTTATCTTCCATTTTCCATCTCCTCCATTTAATCGAGCAAGTTGATGGCTTCGTCCTAAAATACAGTAACCAGCCATTATTCTCCTTTCCTCTCTCTCACACACTTACAGAAATGATCCATATTATCCGTCTCTCATTTACTCCTGCATAATGTCTCCCACCCAGCCTTCCCTCCTTGGTCTCTCTCTGTTGCTGTCTCTCTTTCTTGAAACCAGGCAGTGTAATTAGCAGTTTGTGTCAGTGTGCCCCCTCGGGGAGGAACTTCACATTGTGCGGACCCTTCACACACACACACACACACACACACACACACACACACACACACACACATCCCTGTACTTCCATCTTTGTGAGGACTCTCATTGACTTAATTTATTCCCTAGCCAATTACCCTAGCATAAACCATCACAGCTAAATGCCTAACCCCCAAGTCTTAGACTGAATTCTAAACTGAATCATAAAACAAAGTCTTAAACCTCAAACAGACCTTTCAAGAAGTGAAAACTGGCCAAAATGTCCTCACTTTCCAAGGATGTCCTTACTTTTGTTTTGGTCCTCACTATGTAGCAAGTAGAAGAATACAAACACATACACATTCATGTTCCATTCTATGCCAGACAGCATAGAGGAAATAATACATTATAGTGAATACCGTCACTGGAGAGGAGATGTTTTTGCCTTCAAAAACGTAGTCGATTCCAAGAGAAGGAGGGCCGCTGTTGCTGGAGGAGGATCTGGTTGTTGATGTTTTCCAAAGCTCTTTGATAGTTTGCGTGCTCATTCATTTTTTGGGATGTATTTCAGTATGTACTGTATGCCTACATTACATCCTTGTGTGTGATTGCTTGCACTGCAATCCCTGCCAGATTGTTGGGGGATCATTTCCTAACATGGAATTCCGTTACCAGTTTAAACATTAAGATCTGGTAACGTGCCCCAGACAATTAGGCGGCAGCGTTTCACCTCTACTACTGAGTCCAGACAATCTAAATTCAAAGACATCAGTTATAGAAAAATATAACCAACTACTAACATCAGAGCAACAATATGGAAAACTTGTACCTTCACTTCTTCCTCCCTGCCACCAGAAGACTAATTTGCGGGGAAGAGGGCGGGCGGCGGCTCCAGGAAACAGATAAGCATTTAGCTGTCCCGCTAACCATGAGGTCTGTCACCCGGAGCCACCGCTTCCCCCTGGATCTCTGCACCCGGGCTCCGATCCCGCTAGAGTAGCCGACTCTGTTTCTGTTGCAGCCGTTATACAGGTTAGACCCAGTGCTCCACCAGCCCACTGTGAGTCCCGCTAACCATGAGGTCTGTCACCCGGAGCCACCGCTTCGCCCTCCCCTCCACGGTGGCGGCGAGGAAATTAAAAATAATTGTCGCTCTCTCGTTTATGCCACTCTGGATTTAATTTCAAGGAACAAACTATCAAAACGCAAAAGTAATTGACAAGGCCTCGGGTCAGCTCTACTTCTTCGTCCTCTCATGTTGGACTGAGGACAGAATGGGCAGAGTGGTGCTAGTGTAATACTACTAGCACCACTCTCGGGGTGCTAGTGGTATAACAAGACATGACAGGCCGGGGCAAGCTGGTTAGCATGCTCATTTCAGTAAATTTCTCTGCAGCACCATACTTAGACGTCTTTGACATAACGTCAATACTCTCACCTCTCTTTACAATGGGTTGATAATGTAATTTCTTAAATGTTTTAAACAAAAATTCTGGCCAGATCTCACAGATTGCACCTTTAACTTAAAAATCTTGGATACACCCTGGTGAACTCAATTCATTGTTTTCCCCTTTTTCATAGTTCTAGCTTGATCAAGCTTACAGAACTTGCAGATTTCCCTCCTTCAATATCTCTATAATTAATAATATTATGTCCAATCCTGAGGACAAAAATACAAAGGAGGAGTAAACAGTCCAGTACAAAGAAAGCAAGGAGTGTCACTGTGCCTAACCAGCACTAGCATGTTCCTGGCATACTAACAGGTTATCCATTAGCTGGCCAGCTACAATAGTCCTGCTAGCAGTCGCTACACCACCAAGCTGTTTGCACAACCTGTTTCATGAGTATGTGTGAATTAACTTAGGCATGCCATTTTCTGGTGTAACAAGATGCAAACAGGCGTATCTGTAAATAAAGAAAACACACTTGCGTTCATGTCCACCTGCTGCACCCACATGGTCATGCGTGTATACGCTCTATTCTGTACACTGTCTGAAATTTTGCTGTACATGTCTGTGATGATTTCACACATACCACTCCCTCACATGCAGACACACAAACACAGATGTGCTGCGATTTCAGAGATGAAGGAAAAGAAGTAAAAAAAAAAATCTGGTGTTTTTTTTCTATAGAAACGTTTTATGAATATGAATTGTAGGTTTCATTAGCGCGACTGATTGATGTTCATCCCACCGAGGACACAAGCGACGACAGCTTCTGTAGCCCCGTCACACACCGTTTATATCCCCCCCCCCCCCCCCCTCACCCCCTCTCCCTTGCCGCTCCACGCTTGTCTCCCCCGTTTAAGTTCAAGTCTTACTTGAGTCAAGGGGGGAAATTCATTTCACAGCGTTTAAACACACTTTGCACTGCAGGGACATTAGCGCCATGAACAACCCTCCACCACTTCATCTTCAGGGGTTAATTGTCTGACGACGCACCTCCCGTGAATGAGAATTTGCTCTGAATTGGGTCTGCCGGCTTCAATAAACAAAGGTCAATTCAAAGACCGCCACATTCCACCCTCCACTTTCCAACCCTCCCTTTCCCCCCCCCGACACTTTATACTTCCGCGCCGCTCTTGCTTGTCAAGCAAATTCTCGCTGAGTAACATTTCAAAGAGACATCAGCCTAATTGCTTGCTAATGAGCAGGCAGTTGTGGGCATGTGTGCGCACACGTACACTAACAGACACACAATGCTGTTTGCGTGGAATGTATTTGCGAGGCCTCCTTTAAAACCTGGCGGGACGCCGAGGCGAGGGGGGAGATGGTGTCATGCGGGAGCGATCTGGGCGAGGCCCTTGATTAGGTGTCTCAACCAGAAATAGACACCCGCAGTAGAGATAATTGGCAATCTGACTGCGCCTTTCATGGCTGTTGTGGTGTGTGCGTGCATGAACATACTGTATGGGGATGTGGGTATACGCGTGTGCAACGGATGAGGTCGTATCAAGGACAGAGGGAGGGTTCAAATTCTGCCTTTTTGAAGAACATGAAAGACTCCCTGTACAGGCTGGAGCAATCTGTAATCCACCACTATGAACAGAATTTTTTTTATTTTTCCTCCGTTCCTCCCCCGATCACGGATTCCCTTTTTTGCCCGTCATGCTGCTGCCCGTACATTGCACTTCAAAGTATTTTTCAGCTGAAACGGCTTCTCTTTGTGCTTTGAAACATTTGAAATAATGAAAAGTTAAAAGGCAGTGCAATATATTCCCCACATTTGTTTTTCCCACGCTTCCCTCAGCTGTTTCTTGTGAAATGAGGTAAAGTCCCATGAGGCGTTTTGGGGAGATGAGAGTGTAAGTTGTTATACTGTAGTCTGCAAGTCTAAACACACACACACACTACATACATAAGGAATGAGTTAATGCTACAAAAGGATACAGTGGTCACCCTCATATTTTATTACCTTTCACTTACTTTCTCCGTCTCTCTCCATTGTTACCATGGCGTTCCCTCAGTCTGCTACTCTGGAACCTCTGGTTTCATTATTTAGAGCACAGGCATAAATTAAACACTTTTCTAGGAGAAACCTCTGTCGCAACTTGCACTTCTTAAAAATAGCAATCCAATAAGCATGTTTACATCCTCATCAATGCATATTTTTGGAAAGCACACACGGAGAACGTATTGGCATCCAACCTTTGAATACATCACACGGATCATTTTAGAATGCAACCAATACTGTTGTCTGAAAGGAACAGTTCAACATCTTTCAGAATACCCTCATTTGCTTTACGTCCCCATGCAACAAAACTGCATTGTCAATTAGGTTACGGGAAACCATCTTTGATTGTGTTTGTTTCTGATGTATCACACGTGAAGTCTGCATAGTGCCCAAAAAAAGCAGAGTAGAGATGTCGACCTTGTCACGAATGTTATTGAAACAGATCGCACTCAAAATGAATTTGAAAAACTGACCAGCAATGTTTCTTTTGAGAAATGATTACCCGGTTACTCCAGATAATCCACAGACCTTGTTGTGAGCAGCTTCATGTAGAAACTAGCCATAGTTCATATGATAGTATAGTAGGCCATAATTAAAGAGGAGCATAGGAAGGAACAGTCGGGTCTCTTTCCCTCCCCATCAAGCTCCGCTTAGGCAACACAATCAGGGTCAGGAGTGATACGGAGGTCCTTTATGAAGACTAGCAGGGAGACCAGGCGGCAACCTCCGGTTCTGAAGAGTGAAGCCAATGCAGAAGTGTCTTAAAACCTGCATTCTCTCTACTGACCAGCAGGGGGCGACTCCTCTGGCTGCCAAAAGGAATCCGATTGTATAGAAGTCTATGAGAAAATGACTCTACTTCTCTCGATTTATTACCTCAGTAAACATTGTAAACAGGAGTTTTTGTTTTGTATTTAGAGCAATTGCCTGCATCTGCCTTCTCTTCAATGTAATGGAACTAGATGGCAAAGTTCCAAAAAAGAACATGAAACTGTTCACAACAAGATATGTGGATTATCTTGAATAACCAGGTCAGGATTTCTAGCGGTTGGTTTTTACAAATAAGCACTTTAATACCACAAGTTTAGTGCCATCTAGTTCCATTATAATGGAGGGAAGGTAGACATCTCTACGGCCGATATCTCCAAAACTAGGCATCTTGCATCAAAACAATCTACATTGATAATTAGCTCTGAAAGGAAAAATACTTCAACCTAATTGCAGTGAATTTATGAGTCAAAGTTAAGCCAGCCCTTTGGTAAATAAAAATCATATTTCATAGGAAATATATGGATGGGCAGACGCGAGTGTCTGCTTCTGTCTGTGATTCTTTCTCTTTCTCACACAGTGCTCAGCGTTAAACATACGATATAAAAAATATGCACAGGTAAGTTATAATTAGTATGGAGATGCAGATAATGCCTGTGGTTTTCAGTGTATGAAAATGGAAATTGCCTTAAGCAGACTAAACACTCATACACAAAGTGCTCATAGTGTTTTGAATCCCAATTATTTCAGCACACTTTCCTCCATTTGAATCCTATTTTTCTCATGTGGTGACTAAAGATCTGTTGAGCTCAAGACTGGCGGGCTTTGATGGTCTGTAGAAGTGCAAAAACTTTTTTTATTGACTTCATAGTTCCCATGGAGCCTTTGCTGTTGACGTTTGCAACGAGCTCATGAGGAGCAAGAGATAAAGTCAAAGTGACTGTCCACGAGCGCAAACAGCGTGACGCTCAGATCAATATATGATTCATAAGCAGCCAGAGTTGTGCGGCGCCTTCTTGTGGAGCCACAGTCAAGTCCGGAATGCGTCTCTATAGGAATCAGTTAATATTTGATGATGGTGTTAAAAGCTCTGGTGAAACGGTGGCTGTTAGAGTCAGCATTGTGGCGACTGCTGATTTAAGCATTTCACAGTTTATTACCCAAGCTGAGAACACTCAAATATTGAAATATGGTCACTTATATAAACACAATGATAACTACTGTGACTGCTCGAGGAGAAAGCTCCCTTAATCTCTCCCCCAAAATTCTAGGAGTGAATTTCTTGCTGACAAACTACAGCACTAATGTGGAGGCTATCCAACAGACTGATGTCTTTTAATTAAAGTGGTCTCGAGAGGACTTCTCCAAATGTATTTTCATCTCAGACCCTTATGTTCAAAATGAAGTACACAAATGTCTAAAAACCCCTTTACTCAAACGCTGAATTCCCACCTGAACTTGTCCCCCATCTTTGGTTATCATTAAAACAGACTTGCCATTGAGTTTTTAAACAATACAGATTATTTCTAACTCATAAACATGGAAACTTAGTTTTTACTCTGGGCCTGAATGTCAGCTGTTACCACTGCGCTTTGAATGGTCGGAAGACTAGAAAAGCGCTATACAGACCATTTACAAGCTTCTGATTCATTACCAGTACGTAGATGAAGGACGAGGGTGGAATGCTTCTCCGATTTCACATCAACAACCTTTTTAGCACTATGAATGCCGCCATTAATCCAACTGGCAATACCGTTGCTCACCCGTCCACGGGAACTTCGTGAAAATTGCCTCGACCTCTTTGTCTGACTTGAGTCACGACTTGGACTCCAAACCTCTGACATATCATTGAAATGAGTTCCAAGATGTATTAATGTTTGCTGTTTCTTCTAGAATATATATTTTGGAACAGCTCTACTGTAAATGTATTTCCACCTACTTTCAGCACAAGGACACACTTGTTCTGTTTCTATTCTGTTTCATCTTTCACCAGATATCGGCACACACTACTGGACTGAGTCATGAATCCTTGCGAGCTATAAACTCACCTTTTTCCTGTTTGTCTCCTCACAGAGGGAGAGACTGCGGAACATCGAGAGGATCTGCAACTTGCTGAGGAAGGTGAGCAGAGAAGGGAACAAATCCCATCTCGTTAGTGGCGTTCAGATGCTGAATATGATGGGTAACTGGCTTATAATTATCAACGCTTCAAGAATGTGTGCTCCAATGAGAAAGTTAATAAGTGGAAAAAAAAACAATCAATTCACAGATGACACCGTGCTTTGACCTGATATACTTCTAAATGCAGCGTTACACATATTCCTTGTCAATTTTTTTGAAATGCAAGGCCTCTGCTTGACATTTTAGTATTTGCTTTTTGAGTTATGTAAGTATTGCGAGCTTATCAGTATTCCACAGGTCTGGTTAGTGCTGTTTTAATGAATTTCTGATTTGTGCAGCGATGCTTCCTTTGTCTTCTTGCCTCGTGTTGTACTGACATCAAAGGGGAGACGGAGTTTGAGAGGTTCTGCGCTGTGCTCTGCAGAGCTGTGCTGTCTGTTTCTCTGTGTGTGCGCGCAGACAGTTTGCCTCGAGGAGTCAGTACGAGGATTGGAAGAGGCCTCCTCCCAGCTTCAGTGTGACATCTGTTTCTCCCTCCACCTCTCGGAAACTCGCGCTGTGCCTCATGCGTGTGCGAGCGTGTGTTTGAGTCTGTTTCATGCTGGAGGTTCATCGGTTGAACAGCTGATCTTGGTTAACAGTGTTTTCAACTCAAGCCCTTGGGCCCTACACTTGGCCCCCCGGGGGGGAGGACGTTCTCCCCGCAGTGCTTGTGAGGAAAACAAACACACACATGCATTGAGACATAAACGCGGGACAGTACATGCACACATCCAGATGCACTGTCCTTGCCGTGACCTACATGTGCACTGATCCCTGGGGGGCTAGCTGCAGATGTGCGACAAAGCAGAATACCACCCAGTTTATGTTTAGTATATGTTCCAATCAATAAGTGTTTCATGAAAATAAATGATTTTCCAAAGCAGAGATCAGAGACTTACTAAACCTGTGATTTCAATCATTCATCGGACTGACTCATTTTAGAGCCGGAGCAGTTACCATCTTGATGTTCAGTTTGGTGCAGGGGGGGAGGGGGGGTCACAACGGCGGGTTAATTGCCTGAGTGATCAATGATCTTGCTCTTGGACGATCAAATGGATTTCTGGCAGGTCATAAAGTTTGGGTTTTGCAGTTTTAGCAGTTCCACACTCTGATTTATTTCGTGGTTGCTGTCAATGAATCCTCTAGGGAACTTCTAATAGTTCAGTCGTGTTTTACCGGTTGGTAGCATACAGTTCTTTCACAACCTAACCCTTTTGGTTCGGTTAACAACAAACTCAGGTCTGTTTGCCCGGTTAGTTCTGTTTTTTTGGGCTGGTGTGTAAGCTGTCAATCGGAATCCCCCAGTTTGGACTTAACAACCAAATGGAGAACGCTTGAAAAGGTGGGTCTCTTGTGCGGTTTGTTTGTGGTGTTTGTTTTTTTGTAATTTATCCAGTTCAATTTGAAATCTGACAATACATATTGTTGAGATATTATTCAATTGAACTTTCTATGTTTGATTTGACAGCCAGTTGTTGGCTACATTCAGACGTTATTACACCTGTTAGGCTACTTCAATATATATGGGACTAAATCACAAGGCCGGTTTGACATTATTGTGATGTTCATGACCTTTGCATGAGGACATTCTCTCTGACTGGACCTTGTTGAATTTTAATTGAATACCCTTGTTTTAGGCCATTTATATGAGCAGGTAATAATTAATAATAATAATTACCAGATTAACAGGTCAAAAGCTGTTAAAACTGCTGTGCTTGTATCAGATTCCGTATTCTTTGTCAGTTCATTAAGTCCATTAAAAAGTGAACCCAGAAATAAACCCTGGATTATTACTGTACAAGACGCACCCGTTTTGTCCTGTCTTGGCAGTCTAATGATGCTAATAATGCTTCAAATCAGTTATTTCTTCGTGAACTCTTTGTGACACCAAATAACATAAATATATAGATCAGAAGCATTGAAGTGCTGCATAAGCTTCTGGAATTTCCCCAACATCACCAAAGCTTTCCAACAACTTACTGTTTAACTTCATGTTCTGTCCTCCTGGCTCATTTCTAAAAAGTCAGTGTGAACAGGAACCAGAACTAAAATGCAACAATGTATTTTTCTTCCTGATGTGAACCAAATTAACCCAACTACAGGTGTGTACGCACCCTAAAACTGTAGTTTTGGTTGGATATACAACTTAACTGCTGCATTCCTAGTACTGGACATTGGTCGACACAAACATATTGAAAATATTCAGCACATTTTTATTGCAAGGCAAGAACTCTAATCCAGTAGATTAAATAACTGACAAATCAAGGCACTTCATCAAATTGATGCAAAAAATCTTCTAAACCGTGCTCATTGATTTGCAGCACTGCTAAACGGGCTAAAAAAGAAAAGTATATATATATATACATATATATAATGTATGAGGTGATTGACGAACAGCTTTATCTCGTGACTCAACGAAAGCAGAGAGAAGTGGAAAGGGAAGACATCCCCGCCAAGTGCCTCGAGTGACAATTCCCCTTTTCCATACATCCAGTCAAATTCATACATCCCCTCGCAGTTTACGAACTGCTCAAACACAATTCACGGGCTATATTTCGACTCTGTTGCACACTGTGCCTGTCAGTGTAAATGCCTGAGGTCCCGATGCAAGAGGATCTGCTGAATTGTGAAGGTTTTTTTTCCTTTTTTCTCCAGAGCCCTTCTTCCCTCTGCTAAAACTATTCAGCCCAATCCAACTGGCACAGTCACCACATGGTGGTCCTGATTGATTTGGTTAAAAGCTTTCTTTTTTCACGTTGGCACACCTACTTCATAGTTTTCACCGCAGACACATGCAGGCGTCTGGACACGAGCCATTTTTTTGTTCTCAACTGCGTTCTGGTTTTTGAAGCCTGAAAAACCCATGCAGATGAAAATAGCTTGAGGGGAAATACTGTCTTCTTTACTCTCAACTGTGTGTGTGTGTGTGTTTGTGAGAGAGAGTGTTATTCATTAGATATGCAGTCGGTTTGAAGCAATGAGGCGGCGCGTTGTCACAGCAACTAAGCAAATCTGAGTGTACTCATTAGCGCTCTTCCTGCCTTTATTTTTGGACCTGTCTTGCCCCTTTTCCTCCCTCTCCTCCTCAATTTCAGCATCTCCCTCCCTCCCTCTCTCTCTTTCTCTCTATCCATCCCTCTCTATACACCTTCCTTAGTGTAATTCTTGAGGTGCCAAGGGTATTTTTATGCCTTGACGGCCAGCAACATTATGTTTTTGGGTTGTCCATCGGTACGTACGTCCATACAATTTTCGTGAACGCGATATCTCAGGAACACCTGGAGGGAATTTCTTCAAATTTGGCACAAACGTCCACTTGGACTCAAGGATGAACTGATTAGATTTTGGTGGTCTAAGATGACTGTGACCTCATACAATAATTTGAGAATTGATATGACAATATCACACAAATGTCCAAAAGGATAAATGTTGACATGATGACATTTTGGACAGACATGGATGTAAACTGCAACTTGACTTGGTTAGTAGAGGCTTAAAACCACGAGGGGGTAATTCATCGGTAGATTATCAGTGACTTTTAACATTACAGAGAGAAGGAATTTCGGGCCACCAAAGCAGTGAGAATAAAAACGTTCAGCTTGAGATGGTTTTCTGTTTGACAACAAATTTTTACTCCCAATATCGACGCTATATACCGACGCTTGATCAGTGGCCCGGCACTTCGAACTATGTTGCTAGCATCCGTTTTGGACGTGTAGGCGACGACGTGACGCTCGTTGCATGCATAGCGTCTTTTTAAATAAACGTCCACGTTCACAGGAAACTAACAGTTTCTGCTTGTTATATGCATACAGTAAAAGTACTTGTTTTGGTTCAGGAAAAGATTGTAGTTTGAGTTAAAATAAGTACTCTTGTCAGGTCAGTTGAGTGTGTAATTTACGTAACATAAGTAAGTTCAAATAAGTCAACGCTGACTCTCCAATGCAATCCAATACAACAGTAAAAAATAAAGTGAGTGGGGTGGAATTCGTCATAGACGAGAAGAATTAATCATCTCATGACATGCATCATAGATGTCACATAATGTTCCATTCACTTTGAAAATTTGAAAGTATCTATCTGATGTATCCGGTGGTATACGACTTTTGTGGTTGTGGTGTTAGACAAGACAGAACTGCTTCCGTCCCTCGTGAGTAAGACCTGTCAAGTTGGTCTCCCTCCCACCTCCCCTCTTTGCACCCTGCTCTCTCCACTTCTGAGGCTCTTCTGACTGCCCACCCCTCTTGCGCCCTCATTACTCTCACTGAGCTTTGTATTTTCCCTGCTCTTTCTCTCTCTCTCTGCCACCCCCCAGCTTTGTGTGTGTGCCTCCTCGCATTGGAAAGAGATGAGAGAGCAGTCAGAAATTAAGTGGTGCTGTGCTGAGCTGTGATCTCTGCGTCTGTTCGGCACAGTGTGTTGGTGGAAGTGCACGTGTTTGTGCCCATTGTTGCGGCGCAGTTTTCTCATCGCAATTGAGTTGTGTTTGTGTCGTGTGTGTGTGTGTGTGTGTGTGTGTGTGCTTTGTATGCACACTGGTGAGTGTATCAAAGTGTGTAAACAACAAACAGAACTTTCATTTTTTTTGGAGATTTTGCAAATGTTGACATTTGGTCAGTGGTCCTATCTTTCAAACTATGGAGCTCTAAGTACCCCTTTAGTGTCAATCTTTGACGTGGCAGGGACAGAGTGTCAGTTTCTGCTTGTTACACGCTTAGTGTCTTTTCAAAATGAACATCCAATCTAGGGTTATTCACGCAACAAAAGTACTTGGTTAGGTGTTAAGTATGTAAGTTACAAAACAAAAGTATGGTTAAATAAAGCAACATTAACTTGGTTTTACACAGCACATGAACAGCGGTCTCCTTGGTTTAAGTCCTGTGTTTGTTTGAACCATCTGTACTCCTCTGCTGCCCAGCATTTCTCGCTCTTGATTCTACATCAGGTGCTGTGACCAC